TCCCTACAGAATTTGGGGGTGGTAAAATTTCTGGCATTTTTTTTTGTTTCAAGCGACAATGTAAGAACAGTTGCAGAAGTATATCAACGTCTTCTCTTCGTGCCTTTGCCTTTACCAAGTTGACCAGACTTGAAAGCATGTTCTTGTTCTTGCAGGAAAGCCAGGGCTTTGCCATACTTGTCTGCTCTTTCTTGCTCATGTTCCACTCTCTCTTTCGCTTTCACCTCGCTCATGAAGTAGCTGTCTTTTCTCAGTTCCCTTATTGCCCCCTTTGCTTCCTGTTTTATCAGTTTCTTCAGCTTTCTTACCTCGGCACGTTGTCTGTCTGGATCATAGTCTCTGCCCTTAACAAAGCTGTACAAAAGATAACATCATCTCGGGTCAGAGAGAGTTGGGTCTGTGAACGTTAAGTGTAAGAGGGCAATGACATGAAGAAAACAACTACTTACTTCTCTTCGAATTTGGGATTGACCATCTTGATGGGCACTGGCTTATGTTTGCGCATAACAAGTGGTTCACGCTTCACGTGATGTGCCCCTGCTTTCTCGTCGATGAGCTGAGCCACATTATCGAAATTCTTCTTTAATGCTTCTGGAAATTTTCCTTGCTTACTGATTTCGTGCAACAACGGCGAAATAGGCAAAAAGATCTCCGGGAATGAGTTCAGTCCTCCACTTATCTCCACAAACCCTTTAAGAGTCTCAACTATGCAAGAGAGAACGCTCGCCCTGTACATATTCCAGGACCATAATTCAGTAACACGGGCAATATATCATCGGGATTCTGTGTTCTCTAAAGAGTTTTGTCTGCAAGTTTGTGATAAGACTTTTTACCTGAAGTCATCAGAGCTGAAAAAGGGAGAATCTGCAGGCATATCCATAATTGAAAAGAAGTTGAGAGGGTTATTTTCATTTACATGGTCTTGTATTTGCAACAGGGGACTCAGAGATTTCAATTCCATAAGATGGTAGAACTGCAACATAACAAACAAGATTACCGTCAATTCAGAAATATGATGATAACAACACTTTCTACAGTTTTGCCAATCTAATGCAAAAGTTTTGGGAACCGAGATACCTCAGATTCCTGAGACGGTGCTGACTTTTTATCTGACGCAGCCATCAAGAGAGTTCGGAGGAATAATATAGCTTCAGGACAGAACTTTTGAGATTGTTTAGCAACCTACAGGAGGAAAAAGGGAAAATCCTTCAGAGGCAAGACCATACATGCTCTTCTAACGAATTGAGAATGGAAGCCAGGAAAAATAGGTGGATCACATCTCCTCACCAAGAGAACCATGGAACAGAGAAAAGATCCAATGGCAATATCACGACCAGAGGAGATGGGACAACGCATGAGATATTCACACATCAACAATACGGATGGAGTCATCACGGCATGGCGGAAATCGGAGCATGGGAAAATCATAGACCACAGCTTTAAGAGAAATAGTGTTTTCGTGGAAGGCCAACATCCGTTCTCTGAAGAATAAATATTTCTCAACTGGTCAGTAAAAAACTGCAAAAGACATGTTAGTTTAGGTTAAAAGGAACTAATAAAGTCAAGGTCTTAAAGTTACTGCGCACCAGGATTCTTGATAGCCTCACAAAAATGTATTCGGGTTCTTAAGAGCCGTTCACGAGCACAGATTGCAGCGAAGTAAGGAATCTCCATGCTCATCTCGATCAATGGCTTGACAAGCAAATTTAGTATCTCAAATTTCAAGGGCTTCTTGTTTGCAAGAGTGGCAAAATACTGTAAGAGAACACCATAAAAGACCTGGCCAGGAGACAGTTAAACATATTCAGAAGAGGGTAAAGGCATAGAAGCAGATTCAAGGGCCTGAAAAACTTGAGCAACAGAAAACTACAAAACAAGTTACAGGTGAATGAAATCTTTGACAGCAAACGAAAAATCTTACTTGCATTTTCTTTCGATTTTCAGCAGCGAGCTTAATGGCATTTGTTGCTCGAATTCGGTTGACAATCACAAGAATATCAGCATCGGAATGATTTTCCACAAGGGCAATCAGCTCCTCAAAATTCTTTGGGGCCTCAATCAAGAACGGGATGTCATGCTGAGTTGAGCTCTGCTCCTTATCTCGAGATTTTTCCTTCTCTTTTCCAGATAATCTGTCTCCTTTGCCACACTGGCCAACATCATTCTTCTTAGTCTTTTTATGAACTCTAGGCTGCATTTCTTCATCCTCATCAGCATCATCGCTATCATGAGTTTCATCATCATCCAGCTCTGCTCCAAGCTCATCATCATCACTTTGTTCCCAATCCTTTAAATAAAGAGCCTTTCCTTGCTCATCTTCATCGTCATCTTCATCATCGTCCTCCTCGTCAATGTCAAATTCTCCACCTTCGCTTCCTGAATCATCGGAAGAACCATCATCTTCCTCGCTATCAGAATTATCATTATCCCTTCCTTCAAGAATTTCGTCAATCCAGCCTTTTTTTGGTCTGGCTTCTTCATCCACTAGAAAAGAATCACCAAGATCATCGCCAGAAATGGCCCTCGACTTCTTGATAGATTCCCGATCACTGTTTTCATCATCCTCGTCACTCAAGTCATCAGTTGCCTGCATCCTCTTCTTACGCTCTTTAAACCTTAATTTCCAGAATTCGCCCCAGTTCGATTGCTTTTCTCGATTTTTCTTGAAAGGGTTTAGGCGTTGTGGGGTTAATTCGAAATATTGGGAGGGAAAGTTCCCGCCTTCGATCGTGTTTAGGTTTTCTGGGAATGCCCCTGATTTTTTTTTGAGTCGATTTCGCTTGTGTTTACGATGCTTATGAGTGTTAGAGCCTTCTTCCGAAGTGTTTGCCATTACCAGATTTAGTCCTATGAAGCCTTGTTTTCAGTTTGAGAGATATGAAGTTGTATTTCCTCTGCCTACAGGCACTTTAGTTATATGTATATCTGCCCTTGGAAGTGCAGATTGTGGTAAAGTTCTTTCCTTTGTGCTCTTGAATTCTGTACAGTTGATCACGCATTCTCGTTATGCGCAGCAGAAGATCTGTGTGAAAAGAAATGCCTCCCATAATTAATGATGACGTAATCATGGTGAACAATGCTTATGCAAAACCCTGTCAATGTTTAGAATTACTGTAATGGTATTTGCACAAGCATACCTCTAGGGCCTCCAGTCGTTCTCTCTCTTCCTGCGCAATTTCTTCAGGTGTCTTTGTTCTATCTGAAGGGCGAGCACGAATATCCATCGCCATTTCATGCACTAGTTTTTCATAAGAATCAAGTTGTTCCTGTGAAAGAAAATATCTAGCTAAGCTTTCAACAGTGGGAATCAGATAGTACCTTACATGGTATAGGTATAAAGGACAAAATTCTCGTTGATACATAAGCAACTGTGATTTGTAATCGGAGTTCACAAGAAAAATGGCAAAACTTAACAGAATATGAGTGAAAGCCTGACCAATGTACGAAAAACACGAGTTCAATACAATCTCATTATGTTGCAATACCTTTGTTTGACTGACAGGTGCCTCATCCTTTTTAACATGCTCCTTGGGAGTCCCCTTAACAAGAGCTTTTAGGGCATTCATCTTTTCTGGTTCAGTTAATGACGCTATCACCCGAGACTCCACTAACGACTTGAAGGTTTTATCCAGATCATCCATCAGCTTTCCATTTTCCTCCTTCCGTTTAGCTTTCTCCATCTGAGAAACAAGAAGATAAACTTAATAACCAACAGTAAAGCGACATGCCATGGACCAGCAAAATACATGGACAACTACTGAATAGTCACCCTGGCAATTTTGCATTTCATGATCATCTCCTCCCTTCTCTCCTTCTTGCTTTTATGGCTCTGCAGAAAGAATAAGGAAAAACAATGAACGGGTTACGCGTCAATCGTCGAGATAAATATACAAAAAAACTCTGTTCAGTGACCCATACATGCGGAAAGGATTACAACTTTGACATACCTCTTCCTCTCCTTCAAATCCCTCCTCTGATGGGCCACGCCGTTTATTTCTGTTTATATGCTTCAGGATGTCCGATTTTCCTATGTATGACAAAGTGATATATGACTCAGTATCAACCTCACAACAAGAGCTGAAGAAATCAACATTGGGTTGAAAATCAAATTTTCCAGTGAGGTGAAAAATCATATGACAAGAAGTCGATCTTTTGCACTGACTGACATGTGTAACAATGTAAGAGAACACCAAAAAAGAATGCATACTGTTTGATCCACCAGCTTCCCAATCATTGTCTTTAAGATCATCATCCGAAAAAATTCCAGCGTCAAAATCATCCCTTTCAGATAGAGCACCAAGAACTGGACCATCATAATCGTCTTCCTCTCCATCAGACAGATTGTACTTGCTCTTCTTCCCTAGTTTCAACTAAAAGGAAACAAATTTCACTAAGTTGCTTGAGCATAGTATGAGTAAAGTATAAGATTCTCAAATTTCAAAATTTTCCCTCTCCAATTGCTTGTGATTAGCTTACCTGACGCTCACGCTGCAATCTAATGATGCCCTTATCGAACTCTCCGAGCTCATCGTTCTGCTCTCCGATTCGCTTATCCACAAAAACCGAAGATTTCAAACTCTGCTCGTACTCTTTCAACAGCGTCTTCTGCCTCTTCTCGACGGCACGAGACCTAGCGAGGCCGACACGGCGTTCCTCGCCCTTGCGCTTCTTCCCGAGGATGTCGAACTTCCGGCGAGACCAGATGGACTCGAACGGATTCTCGGCCTTCAGTGCCTTGGCTTTCATAGCGACGGCTTCTGGTCCCGTCTTCATCCCGCCCTTCTTCTTCGACGTCTTCTTCGCTTTGCTCTCCTTCGCCATGGTGATCTCCGGTGGGGGCGGCTAGGGCTTACGAAATATCACAGAGGGTTTTTGGAATTCCTCCTTGCGCCGTATTGAATAATGGAGGAAGAAGTGGGCGGGTCGAGGAAATATGGATTCGGGTCGGGTGCGATTTGGCCCATTAACCGATAATAAATCCGATATTAACAAAAAATAGCTAATACTGACGTGGAAAATACAGAAATCAAAATAAGTCAAACAGAATTACCGCCAAGTCAAGAGGTAGGACCCACAAAAGGAAGGGGATCCCACAAAAATCTCCGCCGACTGCCCTCATTTTTTTTTCTCATTGCTACGCTAAGAATCCTTAACTCGCTGTGATTACGGACCAAACGCACGAAATTAAAACCTCTTAATCTCCATTAACCCTTCGATGTCCTTCTCTTTTCACTCGCTTAATTAGATTCAAGGTAGGCTCTCTCTCTCTCTCTCTCTCTCTCTCTATCTCTCTCTCTCTCTCTCTCTCTCTCTCTGTGTGTTCTCCATCACTGTCTTCTCTGTTCTGTCATGATTGATTTAACTCAGTTATCAGTGTCATAATCACGCACGTGTTTGATTCTCATCTGGATTTTGATCATTGTGTAATCTCCAGTCTTTTTAGCCATGAACGGTCTCACATATATATAGATTTCGTTCTCAGATTTATGGGAATGCCATCGAACAGGGAAATCTCTGAATTCACTTTGATTTTTTCGTAACAATTTCAGGAAACATGGGTGTGTTATTGAGCTGTCTTCGATTTTCCGACCATGAAGACGAACGCGACAATGCATCTGGAATCGGATCCGCCCATTCCCAAAGCTTCGTTGGCAGTAACTTTGCGCGCAAGGTACCTGCAGATTCTAAACCCTAATTTCCTTTTATTCCACTTTTATTTCCTTCTCTAAGAATAAATAATAACCCATATATTCATGAATTTTCCCATATCTGTATTTCCTTTTATGAGATTTCCATAAATCAAAATATAGTATTTTTCAGAGTAATCGTCGGACATGACATAACCATGGATTCTGTGGAACAATATACTATAGATCTCATGTTTGTTTTTGTTCTGTTTTTGGTAAAATGTGAATATATATATATATATATATATATAGATCTCATGTTTATTTTCTCTATCTATATAATTTATGTTACGTCATAAGCATGGTTTGATTATAAGTTAGTTAGCTTTGTTTAGCTGTTAATGATATATTAGTAGAAGATTAATTAACTTCTATATATATATATATATATATATGAAAGTTTCAGAATTTTTCAAAGTTGCATTGTTTACCACTCATCTTTCAGTGTGAAGAAGTGTTGAGAAATCATGCCCGGGAAAATCAACCAATGTCTGATTCAAATGGAGCAAACCCGAGTTCTGATTTCATAAACGATCTCTTACAATCATCAAAAACGTTATCGACTGCCTCGCCTTCGAAATTGAAAATCCATGAGGGTTACTTCGCCGATATATCAGAAGAAGAAGATGTTTGTCCGACCTGTTTCGAAGGTAAAAGAAGAAAAGAAAAAAAAAAAGGCTAAATCTTACATACATATATATATATGGATAGTAATTCTATAATATATGTTTTTTGATCAAGGCTAATTTGGAATCCTTGTTACTTGTGGAGATATATAGATTATACGGACCAAAATCCAAGGGTAGCTCTACAATGTGGCCACATTTTCCACCTTAGCTGCATCTATGAATGGATGGAGAGAAGTGAAGCTTGTCCCTTTTGTGCCAAGGTATACATACACACACATGCATGCATATATGTATATACACAACCATAATTGATATATACATGTAGATGCAAGTGTATATATACTTATATGTATATATATAGCTTCTCAGAAAAGAAAAGCGCCCTTTTATTACATGTTTATTCAGTTGATTGAGATCGTGTTTCTGCAGATGATGCTTTTCTTGGAGCCATGAAACTGAGGTTGTGTAGCAAATCTTGAAAAGGCATACTCAAAGAATCCTCGGAGGCTGTTTAATTTCACCAATTTTCAAAAGCTTTTTTCTTGTATTTTTAATTATTATTATTTTTTTGTATGCAAATCTTTATTTGTCTCTCTTCTTGAAAGTTCTAGCCAGAATCTTTCTGGTCATCTATTTGAGGAAAGAACTATAATAATAATTTCACGAAAAAATATTATACGTACGTACAAACAAGTGATATATAAAACTAAACAAACAGAAATTCAAATTACAAATCACAAATTATCATAGGGTGAGAAATGTTCGAGCAAATCTTGTGTTATCCCTCGTGCTCTCTCTCTCCGGCCCATAATATTACATTGTGGTTGTTGCCGTCACACATACCAAAAGCAAAAGCTTGCTAATAATTATGAACAAATAGTCATAATATAAGCTATGGCTATTTGTTATTATTAATTACCGCTATATATATATATATATATATATTATGTGAAGCAGCCAAGGTTGCAATCGAAAATGGGTTCAAGAGTTAGGTCGAGATCGTTCCTCCTCATCCCCGTTGGATCTTCTTGGTACATTCCGCTGCATCACAGTCATATATAATAACAACTTATTACACATTCATTTGCATACATTTATATAGAAATGTGTATATATATATATATATATGAAACATATCATATACGCATACAGCCGCAAGATGAAATCTTTACTACAAGCATAGACGCAGTTATAAAATCAACTCTAAGTACACATCCTTAAGGGAAAAAAAATGCATCTTTTTATATCTGTAATCAATGGGTATATATGATGCTAATGCAATCAGATTGTAATGAGAAGAGATGGACTGAAATTATATGACATGAAAGGATTTAACATTACCCCATGTTGAGGAAAGGAGAAGCGTCATGAGGGAACATGAAAGGGTGGTGCGGATGATGTGGCAGAGACGGAGGAGGAGGCGGCGGTGGCACGGGTAGCGGTTGCGGAGGCATGAAACTGCGGCCATGGTTCTGCTGTTCCCAATGGTCTTGTTGCGCCTTAAGGACCTTCTCCCTCTCCTTGATCTATACATACGTACAAAATTTCCATTTTTCACACAAACACATATATACACGCACCAAAATTAAATGTTACCAAATTGTATCAATTGTTGTCAAAGTGGGCCGTCATATATATATAAAAATGGTTGTAACATATATCATTATATGCCAAGCCAACACTTAATTTCCCATTTTGTGACCAATTCCTTACAATACAATGAGCTTCTTTCATGTTTCTCATAGCTAGTAGCTAGATTTCATTTATTCTCTGCTCCACAGTTTGAACCATACACACACATATATATATATATGTATGTGTGTGTGTGTCTGTGTGTAATCGTGCTACATATCTAGTTATAGTGGCTATCCAATATTCAATCCAAAAACCCATCCTAGTCAAAGTAGCTATATGACATGCATATATGTATATATGTGTGTGTATATAATATGTACATATACAAGATGTATCAGACGGTGAGATTGTGAATAAGACGTTTTCTCTTATCATATGATTGAGAGATTTCGATCAAGGGAACAACCTTAATACTTAAGGGACAAAACCCATCTACGTGAAACTGATGATTACCCTAAACAGAAAAAATATTATAAAAGCAAGATTTTAAAATAAATAAATAAAAATTGAACATATCAAGAGGTAGATATAGGTGTATAGATAGAATTGCATGGTGTGGCATTCATATATAGTGGACGTAACAGTAGAATAACAGTGAGCAAAAGTAATGCAAAAACGTGTTATACCTGCTTGGACAGCATGCTGTTTTGCTCCTGTATAGCCTTCTCCTGTCATTTCCAAAACGGCACGGTTTGTTAGCTCTCCCCCCGTACATCTATAATCTATTCACTCTTTTAATATTTACACATTGTACGTAATCGGCTAGTGACTTTGTTTTAATGTATGTGCGATACATATATACATATGTATTTTAATCAGAAAAAAAATGTGAATAAATATTGATCAAGAAAAGCATTGAAAAAAGAAGAAACATGATACGAATGGCTTTGAATATGAACACAATATAGTGTCATTAATGAATTATACACATTTGCTCTCAGGCACTATATAATATATATATATACACATTGTGCATATAATCGCGTTATTATGTTGTCAATGTACACGGATTAACGTAATATATGGTTTTGTATATATTCCACACGCATATAAATGGCCTTGAGAGATGAAGTGGTTTCTCTTACCTTCCTCTGCAGCTCGTTGATGGATTCGGACATGAGTTGATTCTGCGTATAAACCAATCAACTTAATCATTAATTTGATTAATTAACATAAGTGATTACGCAAGATTCAGACCACTTATATATACACATATGCATGTGTATATGTAAATCCCTATATATATATATATATATATATACAAGTGTACATACTTTTCTGGAGCGAATGTGCTTAAGAGAAGTGTCCAGCTGCTGCTCAAGATTCTGGAGTTCCTTGAGGCTCATTGAGCCCAAGTCTTCTCCCAGATAATGCCTGCGAATTGGTAAACATCATATCGTTAACACTTTCGTTTGATCGTAAAAACAACAACAATATACATATATATAGATACATATGTATATTTATGGATATACAGTGTGTGTGTGTATATATATATATGCCCATATGAGTGTACCTTTGGTTTCTCTCCAAAAGCTCAATCTTAGCCTTAAGCCTGTTATACTCCATTGCCCAGTTCCCCTGCACCTCACAATTTTTCGCATGTAAACCATTGGTCTAATCACCATAATATCGAAGGTTAAGGGTTCGAACTCGGGACTGGATATACAATATATATATATATATATATACACATTCTTGGATCCAAAAACTCAAAAGATCCAACTAAAAACATACATTTATGTCCGAGTCAGGAGCAACGAGCTGTCTCTCGGCGTAGTTGTACCTCTCATACCGCTCAAGTATCTTCTCCATGCTGTTTTTCAACACAAATTAGGGTTAGTCTCAATACAAACATATGCACTTACACGCCAACTAATTCATATATATATATATATATATATGAAGAAAAAGAGAGAAAG